CTCAGTTCTCCCTCAGAAGAAGAAGAACTCAGTTCTCAGAAAGGGTCACCGGACCCGAAACGGTAACTCTGTTTTCTCCTTCACAGATGCTGCCAGACCTGCTGAGCTTTTCCAGCAACTTTGTTTTTGTTCCTGATTTATAGCATCCGCAGTTCTTTTGGTTTTTATTTAGTGTTTCATAAAGTTCCAGCATAATCTCCGTTTTTGTATTCTTTGCCTCAGCTAAAAAAGGCAAGAATCCCACATGCATTCTTAACCTACGTGCCCTGCTATCCTCAGGCATTTGTGGATAATCAAACCAGATGTCTCTGATGTTCAGTACTTTCCAGGGCCCGATCACTCGATATAACCCATTGTCTTCTTAGTGCTCTTCAAGTACTTCCACTTTTCTGGATTGAATTCCATTTGCCACTGCTATGCCTACCTGACCAGTTGTTGATTTGCTCTACTTTACAGCTATTCTCCTCACTATTTGCTACCCTGCTAATTATAATGTCATCCATAAACTTCCTGATTACACCATGCTACGTTGAAGTCTAAATCATTAAGTGCATCACAAACAGCAAGGCACCAACACCAAGCTCTGCAGAACCGCACTAGAAACAGACTTCTCGTTACAGTATTATCATCCCTGTATTATCGTCTCTGCTTCCTGCCACTCAAACAACTTTGGAAGCAATGCGTCACCCTGCCTTGGATCCCCCATGGGCTTTTACTTTCTAGACCAGTTCTTCAGAAGAAGGATCTGGGCCCAAAACGTCAGCCTTCCTGCTCCTCTGATGCTGCTTGGCCTGCTGTGTTCATCCAGCTCTATGCCTTGTTATCTCAGATTCTCCAGCATCTGCAGTTCCTACTATCATTGAAGTTAGACTCACTGGCCTGTAATTTCCCAACTATCACTTCCTCCCATTTTTAATGATGGGAAAGACATTAGCAGTCCTCTGGCACCTTTACTGTGTCCAGAGAGGATTTGAAATTTGATGCCAGGGTTCCAGTTATGTTCTTCTTTGCCCTTAACAGCTTGGGATACAAGATCTATGCCCGGCGATTTATCCACTTCCAAAGCTACAAAACCCAGTAGCACCTTCTCTCCAAATAAATCTAATATTTCAAACATGTTGATGCCTATAACTATGTTGTCCTTTTCCATTATGAAGAACCTTCTAAGCATTCATGCAGAACTGTGTCCACATTTTACTGGGTTCACACATAGATTGTCTATTTGGTCCCTAATGTTTCCCTAGTTGCTCTTTATATTTTTAATAACCCTTTTTTTATTTTACTTTATTCTAACCTCGAATGCTTTTTCACGCATTATTTCGGCTTTCCCAGCTTCCTTTTCATGTTCCTACCATGCACGTTTCATATCCCTCGAAGAGACTCTGCCACATTCAGCACTTGGTATCTACCATAAACTTCTCTTTTCTCTTAATGTCACTTGACATCCAGAATTCCCAGCCCTGGTCCTACCCTGTGTTTTCACAAGAACATACCTGCCCTGTACTCTCACAATTCCCTCTTTGAATGCCAGCTACTGCTTTTGACAGTTTTAAATGGTCCCAGTACAATTGGGCTAAACCGTATCCTATCTAAATAAAGTTAGCTTTTCCACAGTTTAGAATTTTATTCCCTGCCCAAAATTTATCCTTTTCCAAAAGCATATTAAGTATAATGGAGTTATGTTCATTATTTCTAAAGTGCTCCGGTACTGATACATCTGCCATCTGTTCAGATTCATTTCTGAATATTAGCTCCCTAGTTGGGTTTTCTACGTACAATGAATCCCCAACTTACGAGCACTTGTACTTATGAATGCGATCCCATACAAGGGTATATTAACATTAATTTTAAAGTTCTGACATATGAACACTTCCTCACACTTACGAACAGTTATTTTATATCATCCCTGCATCACGTTCTGACTTGCATACAACTCGAACTGCAAACTTACTCAAAAACAGAACCTTCCACACTCCTGTTTCAAATTTTAATTCCATCTCACTTTTGCTCCCCCTAACTACTTGTGACGGCTCCACCCTCCCCAGTCCTGGCTAATCTAGTTTAAATCCAGGTGGCCTCCCACAAGGCTGTTGGGATGCAAAATGTCCAGGTTCCACCTCTCCCAAAAATGGTCAAAATGTCTCAGGAATTTAAAGCTCTCCCTTCAGATGTAGAGAGAGAAAACAGTAAATAGACAAAAATGCAATGTACTCTGTAATCATTAACTACCCCTGCTGAGAGCATTATCAACAAATGTAGCCTGGGCGTCAGTGTTTATCATCCATCCAGGCCGCTCACTCACCATTTCAATCACCTTATCGGGACAATCCTCTATATTCTCAATGTCAAAGTGACCCGGTTTGGATATCTCCATTTGCTTTAAGAGTTCCTGATTTGCTCTGGCCATCTTTGGCAGGAAGTTTTGCAGTCTGTCCAATACTGGAGGCAAAACAGGACAGGTACATGTGAAAATTTAAGCTTGCTGGGTGGTATCAGAGATGGCAATGTTTGAACTGTTATTAGTATCCCTAAAACCTATCCCCCCGGCCCCCCTCCCCGTTCCCCATTCTCTTCCCCCTATTAATGGATAGGTTGAGATGTTGCCCGGGGAGAGGGTGACAGTGTTTCCTGGAGCCTGGCACAGTGGGTCTCAGAGCGGTAATTACTGTACTGGGCATCTGCTGTGGCACAATGACTGCTGCCAGCCCAGTGTTCCCTTCACAGCCCCCATAACTTCTGGGAACAGGCTCAGAGTGATTTCTCAGGGGATAGGGGAGGTGGAGGGGGAGGGGGAAGAGAATGGGGAACGGGGAGGGGGAAGAGAATGGGGGAGGGGGAAGAGAATGGGGGAGGGG